TCCCTAATTCGGTCTCAGTCAAAGAATTTCTCAGGAGAAAATATTAACAATTACGTTTAATAAACAAACAAGAGGTTAGTTCGGAAACTTGTTGCTCGAGAGAAAAGATGGAGGTCACTTGCTAATTCCAATGGCGACATTTGTTAATTGAGTCCATATTAGATGTTAATGAAAAACTGCTGGGATTATTTCTCGTTTATTGTTTTAAAATTAACGTGTCTTATTCACAGCGACTCATTTCAGTCGTGTTTCCGGTTTGATGTCTCTCCTTTTGCCCTTTTTTTGTGTCAGTTGCAGTTTGTTATTCTACGACAATTTGAATCTCACATTCTTTTTTCTCTTTCTCTTCCTTGGACTTCAACTTCTTGTTATTTCCTAAATTTGCCTGATTCACGCCGGATTTTTGCTGGTTATTTTGGGAGATAAAGTGGCAGTAAGTCCTTTCCAATCCCTCTTAATTCGGACTGTTATTCTCGTCTTCATTGCTATATTCACTGTACGCTCCTTCCGGTGAGTGGAATTTCGAACAGAAACCTTTATTTCGCCTACCGGGTTAGATTGTTCTAGTTCCACGTGCCATACCTCTTCCGGATGTCTCTCAGTTTTTGTTTTTTTTTCCTTTTAATTAAACTGTAGCCGGTCAACACTTTGGGTCTAGTTACTGGATCTAACCAACGTCTTTATCCACTGGGTCATGTGACCAATCAACTGAAGAAGGCCGAAGCGTACAACGACCGAAACGTTGTGAATATGGCAATGACGATGAGGATAACAGTCCGAATAATGTAAATAATCATAATACCTCATCTCAGAGATATAGACGCTATTTGATTATTTTAATTTTTCGATGCTCGGGCGTACTTCCTAAATTGCTTAGCATTCATTTTTGCTGGAATTTACAGTCTCAGCATTCTTTCTTTTTTTTAAGAGCAGATTCCTTTTTTTTTCCGGACATTCTCTATTCCCGATTTGATATTATCGGTCTTCATATATTGCTTCTATGCGTAGTGCTTTGGCGCTAAACAGTCTCCCCAAAGATGAAGAAGAGACTTGAAGCAACAACAATGTGATACTACCGAAAGATGCTCAGGACACCATGGAGCGAACATGTAAGCAACGACGAAGTTTTAGAGAAAATGGAAACAAAAAAAGAAACGTATTCTTAACATCAGGAAGGAGTGATTGAAATTTCTGGGGCACTTAATGAGGAAAGACGGCTTAGAAAATCTGATACTCACAGGACATATTGAGAGAAAGAGGAGCAAAGAAAAGCAGACCTTAAATACTTGATGGGCTTGAGTAAATGGATGGGAAAACAATGTTTGGGAGAAATAGCAAAAAGACAAAACTTACTAAGAATTAAAAGAGACAGGAAGATGTGGTGGGGCATGATCGCATAAGCCCTGAATTATTTTTCAATGAGAAAAATATGCTAGTCAGGTGAAACAAAGAGTGAAAAAATGCCGGTGTCTTCTCGTATGTAAACACAGGGAAGCACGTCACTATTTACTATCAACCCATGTCTTTAATAAGATCCATAATTTAACATCTACAATATATTCTGTTTTAAACTACTGAATGAACGTCTTTTGCAAGTGTCCACTAGTCGAAACGTCTCTTCTTCAAACCACCTGAACTGGCGATACACAATCACAAAGGACCGATCCAAATATCGGAAAAGCCATCACTAAACTGAACAGGACATATAATTCAATGAGAAAATAATGACATAGCGCATTTCTTGTGTATAATAACGAAAATTAAAAGCAAGAAAAAAGACGTCGTATTATACACAAGTACACGTTTTCAGAAATATTTTTCTTAGCTTGAATAAAAAGCCCTTTATGTGAAACAACAAGTTTGCAAATGCACTCAGCACAATAGGTAATAATACACAAAGTAAGCAGGTGTTAATAATAATTGTTTACAAAGGTATTTGTTCTTTGGGAATCCGCGCCATTGGAAGTCTTTTGCCTCAAAGACAGGAAATTTACAGAAATTTAAAAAAATTAATAAAGTGTATACACAAGAACTGTCGTGTTATTATAACATTAATGTTACAACAAAGCACCTTTCCCGAAAACTCGAAAATAAGTTTTGAAACGGAAATTAGGAGACGAAACACGCAGTGGCTAAACATCTGGTTTATTTTTATTCTTTAACATTGTGAAAATGAAATATTTTAGCGAAATAGATGTACGACATGGGGATATTAATGTATGAACTTTTGTTTTACATTATGGGAGCCACTCAAGGTAGGGTTACGTTAAGGGGTAGTTTATATAAATAGAAGAGAAAGATAACGGTTAACTCTAGACTTGAACCCGTTAAGACTGAAGTGATCGAGGAGACATCTTCATGAGAGTCTGTTTTACAGAGCAGTGGTTGGTGGGAAGAAGCTGTTTGAGTGGCACTTACGTCTGGCTGATGGAATACGGATGGGAGGTGGGTGGTTTGTTAATATTTAAGTGGCATGGCGGGTCCTCGACATGAAGGTTACACTTGGCGGAACCAAGGATTGTAGTTCTTCTGAGCACTTTCCATGTTAGTAGCGATAGTGCAGTGAGAGGTTCGCTACACCCCGCCTGTGAAAGAGAGAGAGAGAGAGATTAGATTCGTGGGAAAAAAATCTTCTCCAACATGGACGCGCAGAAGCTTTTGAATTCTCTCAAGACTGGAAGGTGAGTTTTGCGCAGCTGACGCCCAAATATGGCAACAGTACACTATTTGGGGTCTGATCTGGCTCTTATAAAATGTAGAGGATAGCATAAAGTGTTGTTCATGATGACGGTCGTCTTCGAGTATAGAATCCAGAGGTTAGCAGTGAATATTTCGAAGACAGAAGGAAAGCGTTGTCCAGGTTAGCAGTGGATATTTTGGTAAAAGTAGCAGAGCGTAGTTCTTGCTTCTGTTCCTCTTCGCCTGACAAGCTGGAACTGGACATTCGGGTAGAGTAGACAAAATGGCCGCCTTTATACACGACGGATTGAATGTTCTACGTCTTCTGATTGGTTAACCTTCTATTGGTGGACTATAAAGTGAGTCAAGTCATTTGGGCTAACTCACACATATACACAAAAAACTGCAACATAAAGAGTCAGGTACTTACTGGAGCAGTACAGGGAACCGATCCTTTTACCTGTATCTTTAGCAATGGATCGTATATGTGTGTTCCACTTGAGGTCAGCAGTGAGTCTGAGGCCCAATATTCTCTCAAGGCCTCCTCGAGGGCGGGGGCATCTGTTCATAGTCATTGTTCGGTGTCTGATCGACGGAGATGGAATATAACCAGCTAGAACTTTAAAAAAAAAATTCATAGGGATGGCTGTACTACCAGATCGTATTAAGGATGTACTTCCTTCCTTGTTTCGGCACTAGAAACACGGGTCTTATTATACTCAGGTCGTATTATACACAAGAAGATACGATAATCAAGATATTCCCCTTTCACGCAACTTCGAAAAATAGGTTAGAAAGGAAGCCCCTTTTAATACTGAAAAGAGCAATAACAGCTATTAGACTTGAGAAAACTTAATTTCCAGGAAGATTTCATAAATTTCAACTGGCGGTAGCACTGGCTGCTCGGTCAGAGAATGCCGAATATTTCTTTATAGGTAAACGACTGATCTCTCCATTAGCATTTGTTCTTCCTTTCATAGCTCTTAAAATCTTACTATTGACTTTAGCTGAAACGGAAAACGATATTTATTAAAGGCTTGCTTAGTGCTTATACGGCACGTCTCAAGCTTAATCAAGGAGCAGGGAGAATGTGTTGCGCTATTCTTTCTCGTGATTCTCTATCAGTTTACTTAGCTTCTTTGGAAACCATTATTCAGAATCCCCGGTTCGAACATTGATCTCTACCACTTGACAATCTAATAAAAGGCCATTGAATAATGAATAGGCAAGAAGGCGATTCAACCTCTGCTAGAAACTTCAGAGGATTATGGAGGTACAGATGTTCGCTTAATTATAGCTATTGTAGATTTTCTCAAATATGAATGACTGATTTATATAACAGGATATCTTGATCATGATTTTAAAAGACATTCGGTAATGTCAAGGTTTATGAAACTATAAAAACACAGATGAAATAAATAACAAAGATAAGTGAGAAATACTGGGTGGAAACAGTATTCGAGAACGAGTTGATTAGGGAAAACCATGAGAAAATAAATAAAAAAAACAAATAATAATAATAATATCTAGTGTAGGGTTAAAAGCTGAAACCAAAGGGTTTATTCTTGCTGTGCAAATCGATTAAATATTCTTGAAGTTGAAATCTTAAAAAAATGTCGCAAATGACGATATCAATAATTCCAGATGTAGTTCGAGCACTTGGATTCATTGGAAGGTTCCAGTAGACTCGTTGAAAGTATTCCTGGTAGCCCATGTCTTAAAGTAATACAAATGTTCACAAATTACCAGGAACTTTGTCTATATAAAATGTGTGTGTTCTTAGGGTTTTTCTTTACAAAAATGATCAGTAGAAAATGTCATAAAGACATTTGTCACCTTAGGTCTCTGGTTGGTACGAAGTGGAAAGCAAAGGAAATAATAATAATAATAATAATAATAATAATAATAATAATAACAGTAATCATGATGATGATGATGATGAAGAAGAAGAAGAAGAAGAAGAAGAAGAAGAAGAAGAATTTCAGAGATTCTCAAATTATATGGACCGACAAATCGGGCTAACAAAAATATGGAAACATGAAACTACGATTATCTTTGTTGTGATAGACACAAAAAATCTCAGATAAACCATTTTATATGAAAAACAAGATTCTGTTGAAGAGAACTGCTTACATTCTAAAGGTGAACTCTGTCAATTCCGTACGCAAATTAAGTTTCTAAGAACAAAAATATCTCAAAAGAGAAAGACTTGTAAATGTACTCTATCAAATAATACAAATGATAATAATAGTTACAACAATAATAAATTATAACAAATAAATGATATAAATAAGAAATTAATAATGAAACACATCAAATTATTAAACGAGCAGGAAAAGAAGGAGGGTAAAAATAAAAATACGTGTTGAAAGAGTGACACCGAAATAAGGCGGGAAAGACACAGAGGAGATGAATGGGGATTGGAAGGGAAAAGAAAAAGAGGAAAAGAGAAGAGAAGAAAAAAAACGGAGAAAGAGAAATGTGGAAGTAAAAGGCAACCATAGAAAATAAAAATTAAATGAAGATTGACAAAATGAAAGGAGAAAAAACTGTTCGGAATAAAAATAAAAAGGCAAAACAAAAATGGAGAAATTAAACTGGAAATCAAAACAGAAATAAGCGAAAAAGGAAAAAAGAAATGAAAACGGGAAAATAATGAAGAAAAAACGACGAAAGAAAAGAAGCAAACAAAAAAAAATCGAAAATAATGGTAGAAAGAAAGAAAGAAAGAAAGAAAGAAAGAAAGAAAGAAAGAAAGAAAAAGAAATAGACAAGGGAAGCGAAAAAATTAAACAGGGAGATAATAACAGAAAGAAATTGTAAAAACCGCCGAATGTGAAAGAAAGAAAGAAAGAAAGATAGATAGAAAGAAAGAAAGAAAGAAAGAAAGAAAGAAAGAGAGAAGGGAAGCGTAAAAAGTTAAAGAGGGAGAAAGCAACAGAAGGAAACTGTAAAAACCGCCGAATGTGAAAGAAAGAAAGAAAGAAAGAAAGATAGAAGGAATGAAAGAAAGAAAGAAAGAAAGAAAGAAAGAAAGAAAGAAAGAAAGAAAGAAAGAGACAAGGGAAGCGTAAAAAGTTAAAGAGGGAGATAATAACAGAAACAAACTGTAAAAACCGCCGAATATGAAAGAAAGAAAGGAAGAAAGAAAGAAAGATAGAAGGAAAGAAAGAAAGAAAGAAAGAAAGAAAGAAGGAAAGAAAGAAAGAAGGAAGAAAGAAAGATAAAAGGGAAGCGTAAAAAGTTAAAGAGGGAGATAGCAACAAAAAGAAACTGTAAAAGCCGTCGTATGAGAAAGAAAAAAAAAAAAGAAAGAAAAATGAGTAAGTAAAAGAAAAAAGAAAACAAAAATAAAAGTATGGTAGATTGTGAAAATAAAAGAAAGAACAGGATTCAATGGAAAGAATAACAACAGAAGGAGAAAGAACCCAAAAATAAAGGGGAAAATGTAAACTAGAAACAGATTTTTTTAAATAATGTTCATCCTGTACAAGATCCAAGAGCCACTCGTGTTAGAAGGTCACAAGCCAAATATACCGTTTATGAGGAAATATAACGGTTAACTTTCGACAAGAACAGGTTATGGTTGTAGTGATTGGTTCCTCAAAGTAGCCGTTCGTTAGAAGCTGCTGTCCGAGTAGAACTTAAATAGAAATAACCCCAAAATAAAAGAAATCTAGAAAGAAAGACAAAATAAAGAAACAAAACGACAAAGACAACAGAAATAGTATATAACGCTTTGTCATGCATCACTGGCGCTTCATACTCTGACGTTTCCCATCTTTACTGTATGTTCAACGATAAAAACAATAAGAACAAGAGAAAGAAAGAAAGAAAGAAAGTGTGGCTAATTGAAAGATCTGTGATATGTGAGGCGGAGTTGTCATCTTCCGTTTTGGTGTTGCAAGATCGTGAATTGCGAACTGTGCAATATTTTTATCGGCTAAAACGGCGCCTAAAATTTTAATAATTTTTTTTTCCCGTGCAGATTATGTCAACCTGTGAGAATAAAGTTAACAACGTTAAACAGAATAAAGATGATGTGTAATTAACAACGGCAACAACGATAAAGGACGCTGAAACTTTTAGATGATACGAAATGGAATGTACAGGAATTATGTAACACACCTCCAAGGGATATATATATATATATATATATATATATATATATATATATATATATATATATATAAATCTAGAGGGTGCATGGCATAAAAAAAATGATTTTTCTGCTTCTTTTTTTTTCTTCATCTCTTTGTTATTATTATTATTATTATTATTATTATTATTATTATTATTTTTTCTTTGATTTCTGGCCTTTACATTTCTTTCCCGGGTCCCTTAGGGACCTAAGGTTAGAAATGGCATCATGACACTTTCCACTGACAAAAATTACATAGATAAAGCACTTCGTGAGGTGTGGGCTGTACTTGTCAGAACAATTTTTTGTATCTCCTTGAGGCATGGACTTCCAGGAATCCCTTCAATTAGTCTACTGCAATCTTTCCCAACCAGTCCTAGGGCTCCAACTACAACAGGGATTGTTGATGTTCCCATATGCCACATTTTCAAGATTTCTATTTCAAGGTCCTTGTACTTTGACAACTTTTTAAATATCTTCAAAGATACATTGCAGTCAGCAGGGACTGCCATTTCAATAAGGAGGCATCGTTTTGTTTGTGGATGTTTAATAACAATATCTGGCCGGTTGGCCTTGATTGTTCTGTCAGTGTGTATTGTGTAGCCCCATAGAATTGTAACAGGTCTTATCTCCGTAATTGGGTCTGGGTGGTGTTCATACCATTTTCTTTCAGTTTCCTTCCCGTAGAAGTTGCAGATTTTCCAGTTCAGATATTGGCCCACTCTGTCATGTCGGGTTTTATATTCAGTGGGTGCCAACATCGTGCAACCTGATACAAGATGATCAATCGTTTCTGGATATTTATCACAGAATCTGCATTTTGGGCTGACACAATATTTTAGTATATGTGCTTGATAATTCCCAGTTAACAAGCATTGGTCCTGTGCAGCAAAAGTAAAACATTATTATTATTATTATTATTATTATTATTATCATTTTCTTTGATTTCTGGCGTTTACACATTTCTTTCCGGGTCCCGTGCAGGGACCTAAGGTTAGAAATGGCGTCATGACCCTTTCCACTGACAAAAAAAAAATTAAATTACATAGATAAAGCCCTTCGTAAGGTGTGGGCTGTACTTGTCAGACCAATTTTTTGTATCTCCTTGAGGCATGGACTTCCAGGAATCCCTTCAATTAGTCTACTGCAATCTTTCCCAACCAGTCCTAGGGCTCCAACTACAACAGGGATTGTTGTTGTTCCCATATGCCACATTTTCGAGATTTCTATTTCAAGGTCCTTGTACTTTGACAACTTTTATTTCCGTTTGCAAAGATTTTCATTTTCAACTGGAAGGATTTGCATTATGGTTTTTCTCCATAAAGATGTACGTCCTCAGATAGCACTTTCGCGGTATATTTGCAGTTTTATGCAACAATGATTACTAAAACGATAGGGTACTTGACTGTATTCCAGCTCTCTCGGTGGTATGTACTGTAATACCTCAATAATAACTGTGACAATAGTTATCGGAATATATATATATATATATATATATATATATATATATATATATATATATATATATATATATATATATAAATATTATAAATTAAATTGTTTAAAATTATGTTTTCCAACTACAAAATTGGAACCAATTTAAAATTTTATCATTAAATTAAAGACATTAGTTCCATTTCATCCTCAAACGAATTTTGGAGTAACTTATTCGGACCTTCCATTTTCACACATGGTTAGAACTGTGTAGCGGAAAAACCATATTTCAAATCAATTTATTTATAATAATAATCATCGGTAAATTTACATTGAGCACTATTTTGTAAAAATAAAAATATCTTTAAGAACACTGGATTATATGTCTTACTGTTCTTTCTTTTTATTTATATATACATAAATATATATATATATATATATATATATATATATATATATATATATATATATATATATATATATATATATATATATATATATATATATACTACAAAAGTTTAGTAATTATAGCCTTGAGCCAAGCTTAGTTGCGTTTAATAAGTTAAAATCATCCTCATTTATGTGTAGTGTTCTCTCAGGACATAGACACACACCCCTCACGCACACACACAAACACACACACACACACACACATATATATATATATATATATATATATATATATATATAATTTTTCATATAGACAAAAACAATTTACTCACTACAACGATGCAACTTCGTTTCTGTGCATTTAATTGCACTTCGACAGGTGATAACCAAACTGGATATATCTGACCATTTTGGTTCTCAAAAGTCGAAGTGCAATCAAATGCACCGAGATAACGTTGCATCTTTGTCGTGAGTAAATTGTTTTTGTCTCTATGAAAATATAATAAATAATTATGGCTTTATAATGGATATTGAGACCTCTTGAATTAATACTGCGAACATTAGAATTTATTATTTTCGTTCTCATTATATATATATATATATATATATATATATATATGAATGGCTAAAAGAGAGGGCAAGAAATGCCGCTAAGCATCTAAATGTTAGGGGCAGGAAGTTGTAAGAGAGCAATAATCACAAAGTCCGGAAATGACATGACACATATGAAGAAGCATGTTCAAGTAAACTTTCTATTTTTCTTCTTCTTCTTCTTCTTCTTCTTCTTATTATTATTATTATTATTATTATTATTATTATTATTTCTTGATTTGGTTGTTTTTCTTACAGGCTGCCTCCAAATTTCAAAGAGAAATCTCAAGTGTCTACAGGTCATGATCGTCGGTTCAGTTAGTTGGATATGTAGCTGACATTCTCAGTATAATTTCTTTTTCAATTATATCATGTCATTGGAATGGGTATAATAATTTAAATTTTCATCATATATATATATATATATATATATATATATATATATATATATATATATATATATATATATACTTTTTCTGTACCGTTAAAATCTGTAAAGAATATGAAAATTAACAAAGTTTGTAATATTTTCATTTCGGCCAAACTCGATTCACAAAGTTGCTGCGAAACTTAATTTCTCATATCTTTTGCTACCGTTCTTTAAGTAGCAATGACAACTGCGAAGATTATTATTATTATCACTCTTATTAATATTATCATTATTATTAACTTTACCACGTTCTGCAGTTTATTTCTCTATCACTATCTCTTATTTTTTGTGTCTTACTATTATTATTTGTATTTAATGAGTTTTACTACCAAACAAAGAAACGGTTGTGCTTCCATCGGGATCAAGCAACAACAAGTCTCCCAATGTGCTTGCTGTTTTCATTAAGACTCTTTTGAGTGGTTACTCTTCTTCCTGATATTTCTGAATCTTTCAACCTGTCGCAAATGTTCAAAACTCACCAGGAATAGTTGGTATAACAGCCAATTTCACGTTGTCAGTATTATTTTTTCACTTCTTTTAAAATAAGTAGATATTTTCAATTTCAATCCGGGGTTTTCTCCAACAGCATCATCCAATATTTGTTCTTCTTCTTCTTCTTCTTATTATTATTATTATTATTATTAGTAGTAGTAGTAGTAGTATTATTATTATTATTATCAGTAGTAATAGTAGTAGTAGTAGTAGTAATACAGCAACACTTTAGTTTTGCATTAACCAACAGATTCATTTTGTGAAGGGGTAGTTGCCAGGCTACAGTGCAAAATCCGCTTTTATTTTTTTGATGCAAAGTCTTGGCGACAATGAATCGTTTAATATCTAAAAACATCTGGGAAATGTCAAAAGTCCTGTGAAGCCTGGGATAAAGTTAGGGTTAGGGTCTCCTAATGGACTCAATGTGTCGGTTAGCGTTACTGACGGGGGCGGCATGAGAAATTGGCGAAATGGTACTGTTCTTACAACTGCCAAATCCTTTCTCTACAGATCGCTTAAAGCGCTAGGTATACATCAAGAGCAATCGTGCTGAACACAAATACACCCATACATAGGTACACTTGTGTTTCGAAGACACCAAGTGTTTGGAATAAAACGGGTTTTCTACTAATTGTTTTTTTTTTTACATTTTTTCATATTTTTCAGTAACGAAATATTTTGCACAAGAATTCTCGCAGACTAAATTTCCTGAATGTTTAATACAATGTGTGTTGGAATAGAGATGTCTGAGTTGGGTTTCTTTTCTTTCCAAAAGAATAATCGTCCCGTTTAGTTAGATATATAACATGATTGCTCAAATAGAAAAAAGAAAGCATACAAGAAAGACTGGGTCGCAAATGAAGTTTTTGTTGAATGCGAGATTTAATAAAACTTATACTAAAAAAAAGATGTCAACGATTTATAGAATATAACAATTTACCGCTCGTAACACAAAAATGCGAGACGATATCACAC